TTTCGGTGTCCCTGAAATTCTGGGGAATCATCTCTTGGAAACCCTTGCATTCACACAGTTGTTCCTAATCACAAATAAAGATGGAAATCTGATTTGTATGCTGAAATGAATTTAAAAGTACAAATGAAAGAGATCATTATTTTTTCTGTTTTCATGTTAGTAAAATTATAACCTAGGCTTTTAATTTTAACTTTCTCTTGTTTTTCTAAAGTATAGTCTTCTATAAAAGATACGTTAAAAATTGTTTCTGATATCTTGCTGTAAGAGGCAGGAACATATCTGTGAGTAGCTTTATGGGTAAGATGCGGAAAAAAAAAACCCACTGTGGAGAATGTAATATTGTTTTTTTGAAGCTGGGATTTTTCACAAGGCTTTATCATTACTTGCAAGTTGAGATTAGTGTCTTAATAAAGTTTTTAAATGCATCACTTTAGTTGCCAAAACCTGTTGTTTTCAGTGGAAGTTTTGCTTAACAAAAACAGATGAAATGTATTTGAAAGTAGTCCTGGAAACTTGATCTTCAGCTTTACAACAGTTAAACTTAATTATGACCTTCACTAAGTCATTCTCACAAAGGCACTAAAGTATCATGGTTTAAAAAAATGTACCCATGTCTCAGATATAGTAAGACCTAAATATTTTTTGTATCTTGAGCTAGGAGAGCTCAGAGATGAGTCAGGTGTATTGTTTGAGGGGATTGTCTGAATAAGAGAATAGGAAATTGACAGCACCTTTCTGTATTATGCTTTTTTGCTTCTGGCAAATTTTATTTGGGGAGGGGGGGAACCTACCAGTAAATACTACAGCCCTCTTGCTCCTCTCCCCAAAATGTATTACTGTCTCTTGCATATCATAGCCTCACTCCTTTATCCCTTAAAACTCTGCATCTTGTGGAACCAAGGCTCCTGATGGTTCTTCTGGTGAAGTTCCACTTTCTAGTGAATTTTTTGTTTCAAAGTGTCATTGTATTTTCCATGGGAGAAGAGTCACAAGAGAAGGATCTGCTGTTGGGGGCCTGAGACTATTTGTCTTTTGAAATTTGTAAAATATATGTTTAAATAAAAATTTTAACTAGTCATAATGAGATGTGGGTTTGGGGTTTTTTTAGAGCACCTCACAAGTGTAACTGCTGTAATACCCTTTGTTAGCATCTGTTGAAAGACAGTATTCCAACATATGATTTCCAACCAAAAATTCTTTGGTCGAAGTCTTATGCTAAACTGTCTGGTTGAAGTAGTTCTGCAGGATGTTAGCAAATACTAAACGGTGATTCATAGGGTTTTATGCAATTCTAAAAGTAAAGGCTTTGTGTAACTTTCTTACTTCAGAAAGACAACAGATACAAGAAAGACAGTTTTGGTAGGTATCTAATGGTACAGACATGTAAAAGTTAAGTGGATAGGGTGTACTTAATTCTCTGTTCACGTTTTGTATATAGTATTAATATCTGAGCTTTTGGGAACCAGCATATTTTAAGTCTTGTCAAGCTGTGTAGTTTGTGTCTCACTTACATTGCCAGCTTGCTTTACCCTCACTGTGGGCTTTCCAGGCTGCAACACCCACAGAGGAGAGACTTTTTTTTAAGGGAATACAAAACTGTCAAACTGAGAGTCTGGGAAATTACCCAAGTAATTGTATTCAACGCAATAAGTTAATCTATTATTAAATCAGATTGAGGTATGAGAAATATGCTGTTGATAATTCCTATGATGTGTCATAATGTACACACACGCTTTTGTAAGTGCATTGTCTCACTGTGTTCTGTTCTGGTAGTCACATAAAGTAGGAATGATTATGTAGAATGGTCATGGCACAGTGAAGAAATGCTATAGAGAAGGCACTGAATTACTATGGTGACCCAATGTCTGTTCTTGACTTTGTCACTGGTTGTCTATATAACCTTCAGTGCATTCATTTAGCTGTCTGAAACTTCATTTCCCAAGCCTTGTATCACCCAAACAGACATGACCTTTCATTAGTTGGTAGTGGAGCTTCATGCTAGTGGTTCCTTCCAAACACTGTTGTAATACTTAGATATATTTTTTAAAAAGATATATCTATGTATATATCTGTGCCATGGAAATCAAAGGCTAAGACTTGAATGAAAACTCCGTCCCCCCGCCCCAGTTTAGTAGTTTTGAAGGAGTTTTTTGTGGTAGTAGATTTAAAGGGTGTTTTCCAAATGTGTTAAAATGCATTATACCTGAAAGATATTACTGGCTTTGGAAGATTAGCTTACATCAGGGTTGTCATTCTGTCATGGTTAGTATACTGTTACCAACTCATTCTAGAAATTTATACATTCATTTGAGTGAACTTAGACCTGACTAGTTTTAGTTCTTAAAATTACTGTAATGCTTCTCTGAGAAGAACATAGACTACTTGGAGACAAAGCAAAAATTTTTATCTCCAAGAGGACAACAGTATGATTTTTTTTCTTTGAGATCAGTTGCAAGTGAAACACTTCCTTAGAGGAATTAAGTCATTTAACTAGTGTTGGTCATTGACATCTCCTCGTCCCATTGATGTTAAATCTCATCTACAATGTATTCATATAGTTGTAGTCTTTGTTCTTTTACAGATAGATAACTGGAGAGTGAGACATGGGCAAGGGTATTCCAATTCCACTTCCTCTCCTTCTGGTATGGATTGTTGCTGAATTAGTTCTCCTGTTAGTAAAATACAGAAATTCTACTGTTACCCACTTGAGCGGGAAGGCATGAGTAGTGAGAGTAGGAAGGGGGCCGAAGCATTTTCAATGTGTGTTTTTTAAGAGTGTGTCCACTAGAGAGCAGCAAAAACCTGTATTCCTAGAAGTTTTGGCTATTCAACTGATGAGACATTGTTTTCCCCTTTTAAAGGAGGGGGGAGAGTAGCTTCAGAAGGAAGAAGTCATCTATTTGTGCCGCAAAAACCATTCAGTTGTGTATGACAATGTACTGTGTCTTGGCAGGAGACTAAGGATAGTGGCATCAAACTGTAACCAAAGTATAAATTCTGTCAAGTTGTGCTCATTGGGAATTATGTAGCAAAAGAGAGCTGGGAGCAAAATGAATGAGGAAGATAAGTCTCCAAATGCTTTATTTAGTCACAGTGTTATCAGTGTGTCTCTACAACTTCACAAAATCAAGGAGATGAATAAGTGTAACAGGGTCAACCCAAAACTCATTTTTCACTTCAAGTAACTTGGTCTCTGTACAGTGACTCAATGTAAATATATCTTCCTGAATATCTGTCTCTTATTGTAGGCATTCAGATGCATGCATGATTACAATGAGCCAAGAATATTATTTAAATAGAAAAAAAAGTCATGGATGAAGGAAGTGAGATAAAGGCCTGCTTGTCAATAAAGTTGAAAGAAATATCAATGTGTGAATATTTTAGGAAACCTAATGGCTTTAATGGATTAAAAAAAATCTTCAAGCATAAATGACCAAAGATACACCAACAGGAAAATAATTGTTAAACTCTGAATAATAAGACTTGCCTTACTTCTCTGGAGGTGGGGATTGCATCTTCAAAAAGTGGTGAGGTTAAGAAGCTTTACCTTTCTGTATACCAGTTCTCATTTCATATACCTTCTAATTATTTTTTCAATAACCTTCATACTAAACAAATAATTTTGCAATCCCTTTATGAGTGTTTTCTCTCTTCGTCTGACTGGTTTATGGGCTGGTGACTTTCTCTGAAACATGGGCTATCTTTCTGTAGTGGGTCCTGAGAGCTTTATTATATCTTTTTTTTTTTATTTGTAACAGTAGAGGATGATTGGCAATAACTTTTTTTTTTGATTCAAGATCTTGGGGAAGGAAAGGAGATCTTTTCAGAGAAAGAGGTACAACTTGAAATCAAGACTGAGATGAATGTGTTTTTTGAGATCAGATTGCCATTTACTTAAATCCATGATATCCAAGGCAATTTAGGTGGCATCAAATTCTTGAATTTAATTGAAATAACAAATTTCATATTTTGGGGCATCTTTTGCTTTGCCACCTATTAACCCTCACATGTGTGCACCCTTGAAAGAGGCTTGTTTACAGCTCAGTGCCTTTTTTGTGTTTTGGGCATGAGTGGTTAAGATTTAAAATTTGTCTAAATTCTTGTATCTTAATCTTTCTGCATGCATGTATGCAAGTTCTATGCTAGCTCTTGCTCTCCACAAATGAACAAGTGGAGTCAAGATTGTATTGATGTTTTTATTGTTGCTACTGCACTGTTTTTTGTCTGGCTTTGAATTTCTTTCTCCATTCCTTCCTGCATTTACAGGACCAAAGTAAAGGAATGAAACTTGATTGTATTACTCTGTCATTCCCACTTCCCTCCCCATGGCCCCTCCTTACTAGTGCAATTGATAGCTTTATTAAACCAGGAATTTTAGTAATATAGGGCAGTGTTTTCCTGTGGCTTCAAAAATAACAAGTCTAAACCATGTTCTGCTTGTGTGAAAGGGTATGTTCTCAGCTTGTTCAGGATTCTTTTTTTTTAAAATGAAGATTAAGCCTTTATGTGTCCTTTTCTTGGTGCAGAATTGAAGCCATAAAGTAATGTATAAAGTATAAATCTTGGGTAGCCAGCAGCATCCTATTTGTTACTAGACCAATACCTGTGGTTGGGGGGGGGAATGGCATTATTTGTATTGGGTTTGAAAATAGCAGAATTGCATGCTATAGAGGATACAGTGTTATTAAAAAGTCTGGATCCTAGTATGAGGAACTGTAATGCAACTTCTTTAGCTGGAGGACCATCTAGGATTGCAGCCTTTCTCTTTTAATAAGAAAAGATTACTTCAGCTTTTAAATCTGACTTTCATCTGCTCATCTCCTAATTTTTTTTGTTCCACTAAAAAGCCTTGTAGTGTTTTTTTTTAAGTGTTACAGTTCTGTGTTTATGTAACCAAAAAGATTATAGGCCTTGTAGTGTTTTGAACTTCTTCGTTCATTTAAGCTGTCTCTCAACTCAGAATGTGTAGCAATACTGACAATAATGTTTTTCTCATACAGCATTACAGTGTTACTGCCATCTATGTACAAAAGACAACTTTACATGTGTGACAGATGGACTATGTTTTACCTCAGTAACACGAACTGCAGACAAAGTCATACACAATAGTATGTGTATAGCAGAAATTGATCTGATTCCCCGAGACAGGCCATTTGTTTGTGCCCCCTCCTCCAGAGATGGAGTCATTACTTTGCCTCATTGCTGTGACAAAGACCACTGCAATAAAATAGAACTTCCAATTCCAACACCAGGTAAGGGTTTGTATATTTCTTTTTTTTTAACAGGAAATTCTGTGAGAGTAGAAGTTTTTATTTTGAAGTTGTAGGTGAATTTGAAGGCCTAAAGTACACCTTAGATTCTGTAAATAACATTTAAAGAGATTTGCAACAAGAAATTTAATCTTCTCGATAGGGATGTTAGGGCCAGTTTGAAGACTTATATGCAAGTTGAACAGAAACTGAGTAAGCACATAGCTGCTTTTGTCCTTTGTAATACTTTGATTCTTGAAAAAGTTACTGTGCAAGAATTTTAACAAATAAATTGAAAATCTGAAGATAACTGATAAGCAATAAATTTAGTTGAATAAAAAGAAATAGTTTTACCACTTTCTTTTATTTTTACTGTCAGGCCCTACTCCAGGAAAACCAGCTTCTAATCTAGGACCTGTGGAACTGGCTGCTGTCATTGCTGGACCTGTCTGCTTTGTCTGCATTTCACTAATGTTGATTCTGTATCTCTGTCATAATCGTACTGTCATTCATCATCGTGTACCAAGTGAAGAAGATCCCTCACTGGATCGTCCCTTTATATCAGAGGGAACTACTTTAAAGGATTTAATTTATGATATGACAACTTCAGGCTCTGGGTCAGGTAACGTCACACTTCTAGTAGTAATTACTCTGTGTTAAGAGCTTTGTAAGGCATCAAATTCTCTTAATATTGTCAAATCTACTTATAGTTAACTAGAAAAATTACTAGACAGTTACTTGCATTCAACATCAGTGAAGATTCAATATATGGAAATAAGTGAAATGTAAGAAACGTGTTGAGTTGCTGCTACCATTCCTCATAATTCTGAGAGTACAGTCTGATATGTAGGGAATATAAGAGCTGTAAATGTTTTGTTTTCTCTATTAGTAAGACTCAGTCATGAGAAGATTGGATGTTTCCGCAAGAGTGATCTGTTAACTTCAGCTGCAGTGAATTCTATGTTTTTCAGCTGAGACAACTATTAGCCTTATTTAGTGTTCCATACTTCCCTTTTATTATGACAGTGGGATAGGAGGTGCTTCAAGTATATACTTGTGTATATACACTGCCAACAGTATAGAAATTTCAATGACTTGTATTGCTTTGTCTCAAAATTAGTCAATCAATGACTATATAAATTCATGGTGCCCTAGCACTTGAACTGCTAATTTTCTTGTGTCCTGAAGTATGCGTGCAGCAATTCAATCTCATTGAAATGTGTATTTTAATCCAGACTTTGGTACAGCACACTTAAATTTGAAAAGACTGTACATTTATGTAATAAACTGGGAGTGGGGAACAGGGTCACTAAAGGAAGAAAAGTCAGAGCTGCTAGTTAAAATAGTGTTTAACCTTGTCAGAAACTGAACTGTGTGAAATGGATGTTGTTCTACAAGAAACACAATGGAAATGTGCAGAACAGACAAAATAATCCAGACCGAAGAGGTACAGTTAAAGAAGTGTTGGTCTGCTTTGCTTTGAAATTAATACTGAGGGACCAAAAGAGCTCATAGTCAAATAGAAAGGATTCTGCCAGTTTTGTATTATGATATTCTCCAAAGAGAAGCATATAAAACAGATAAGTGATCAAAAATCTAAAAATGAGCTTCCTATTCAGATTAAAAGGGAAGTAGGATTCACTTTCTGCAATGATGAATAGCAAGCTGTTATTAATTATTCAGTCTTGACTTTTGTTAGTATTGCCCTCTTCCATGATGAACAAGACCTGAAACAACTAGAGGCTTGATGAAAAGAATTGATAAAACATCTAAAATAGATCCTTCTGCTGAAGCCACAGCTTCTAAGAGAAGGATTTCAAAGTCTCTTGGAGCTGAGAATGATTTTCAGATCATGATGCAAATCTCTAAATATCAACTACATACTGTATAGGCAGTTTGGGATGCCCAACTGTTACTCTCCTAGTCGCAAATGACAAAGTTCCAAGAAAATAGGAAGAATTGCCTAAAACGGGGGAGAAGCTTTGGTTGTTATTGGTAGGTGACTTCAAGCAGTAACTTAAAGTGTTTAGAAATCCAAAGGGTCACAAAAATCTATGTAAAGTTGAGTCAGGTGAAGTGAATGTAAAACTCCTTAAACTTGTTTGTGGTTCATAGAAGCTTAAAGGGAGTGAGACTTTTCACAGTTCATGGGGTTGGCTTTTTATTACTCTTCAGAGGAAGTCTTCTGGGTAGAAACTGACGAACAAGAATATGAGCAGGGACAAAGCTCTAGCAGCTGCTTTTGTTGACTACACTTAATGCTTTAGAACTTAATTCCTTAATTATCCAAAACAGGTACAAACTTCTTATGCATTGGACAGTCATTGGTCCAAACTAATCAGAGTACAATTAAGGTATGGAAAAGACAAAGAACTCTTTTGTTAAACTCTCAGAAGGCTTGAGGATACTTTGATAAGATGTATGAAGATGGTGATGGAAGGCTTCAGGGTTAAATTGGATGACAATGGCTGAATACAAGGTGCTAAATGTTAGGAGCTGCTGTTGAATTTAACGTGGGCTTGAATTACCTCATCCTCCTGACTAGCAAACTGACAGTCATCTTTCTTCATGCACAGTTAAAAGAAGCTGTACTCGAAGAGCTTGAAATACAGTTGTGCACAATGTGCATGTCAAAGGTTAATGTATCTATCTCCAGTCAGCTACTTTTCGGGCAGTCTGGTTTACAGTAAAGCAGTAACTCAAGTGCCAGGGGATACGGGCCTGTGTTTCCTCCCTAGCTAAAAAAGAGACTGCTCAGTTACAACAGAAAGTCTGTAAGGAATGCTTATGGATGGAAGATAAATATGGATTCCAGTCTGCTGGTTTTGTTCAGCAGCAGTAGTAAGAGAAGGCACAGTTGCAAAAAACAGAAGCAAGTTGTATCTTAAATGTTGTAAAAACAAGTATAGAAACAAGGTAGATCACAATTAGCAGGGGTTTTATTGTACTGTGACATGCTAATGTGATGATTAGGGGTTTGTAATGTGAAATAGAAATGATTAATGTCTGGAAGGTTTAGAGCTCAGTATCTGTTATTAGCTGATATCTTTGGACATTTTTTTAAACAAGAAGAGATGTCTATAAATGGTACAGCAAGTTGAGAGCAGTGCATCTGAAACTGAAAATGTACAGTTTTCTGAAACAGCCGTAGAAAAAGAAATTTTAGGCATATCACTCATTTCAAGTATACAAAATCAGCTTTTATTTAACATTTGTCTAGTGGATTTTGCAGTAGTATGTAAGTGCTAAGGAGGAAGCTTTCTCTGACCAACAAAGTAAAATTTTACATTCTCAGGGTTGAATTTGGTCTTGTGGTTGTTCTAGTGTAGCCTCTTCTGCATTTCAGAAGTCTGACCATAAAGAATGCAAGTTAGGCTTCACAGACGAGCCTTTATGGTTTGGGCATGCAGCACAATTGACCTGAGGATAGCTATTACAGCAAAAATTTTAACTTTCTCAGTAGGAATTATTGCAGCACCTGACAATGATTAAATCTGTTGTATGGTGTTCATTTCCCCCCTTCTTTCTTCATGTAGGTACATTGTCAGAATAGATCGTGCATAAAATTCCTGTAGCTCTGGAAGACTTGAACTCCTCTGAACACTGTAGTGTTAATTTGCACTCCTCAGAATGACACAAGCATGGCAATGCTGCTGACCAGACCAGATATCTTTCTAGTGCTGTTATTAGCAAAGAATGTCCAGAGATGGACAGGAGCTAGTTATTTGAGCTATTAGTTGGATTTATTTTCTCTATCATAAGGAAATACAGATGTTCTTATATCAGCTATTGGAACAGTGATTATGGAGTAATAGATTACTTTGTAAAGTGTTTAAGTGAAATGATACTATACCAAAAGACCTTATTGTGAGCAGATAACCTGATGCATTCATCCTGCAGTGTAGTATGACCACAGAATTCTGTGACGAGCCTTGCAGTTACAGCAGAAATATTTAAAATAAAAAAACACCGTGGTTGAGGGATGCCAGTGCTTCTTGTTTGTTGTATAAACTTACTGAAGCATGTTATGAGGTGCTGTAAGTTGAAAGCCTGTAGATGTTCCAAAGCTATAAAGCTTTCATGAATGTAAGCATTTTTCTCAAGTATAATTGTAGTGAGGTGCACAAGGATGTCCTGTAAGATAGGATGCTTGCATTACAAGAGTGTCGTCTTATTTTACAGTGGCTTGAGAGTACTAACAGGCAACGGGTGTACTTGGGCATCAGTTGTGAACATTCAGCAGTCAGTGTTGATGATAAGCATTGTTTAACTTTAGCTTAGAAATGGACTGAGTCATATCTAGTGATAAATAAAGTAAATAAATGAGTAGCAAAAGTGCTCTTGAACTGCTCTGCCAGGAGAGTTACGGGCAGATCTTTTCGGAAAATAAAAAAAAAAACCCAGACAAACCCACCCACAACCAAACATGCACAAAAAATCCCTTAATCCTGATTGCTTCATGGTATGCTTCTTTTTTCCATTAAAATAAAACTTTGAATCAACAGTTTTCAAAATTCTAAACTGAAAGGAAGTTTCTGCCCTCTTTAATAATTGTAGAGGCAGTTTGTGACACAGTCTTTGAATACTTGTATTGCTGCCCTATAAGGTTGAAGGCAGCATCTTACCTACGTGCTTCTTAGCAGTTCACAAGCTATTAAAATTTGAAGAGAGTTTATGTGCATCCTAAGAAAAATATCTCAATGGAATATAGATCTTATATTTAGTATTTATGATAAGTCCTTATTTTGTTAGTGATGTTTAAGGTTAATGTTAAATCTTCTTTTTAGGTTTACCTTTACTTGTGCAAAGAACAATTGCAAGAACTATAGTACTTCAAGAAAGCATTGGTAAAGGTCGCTTTGGAGAAGTCTGGCGAGGAAAGTGGAGAGGAGAAGAAGTTGCTGTGAAGATCTTCTCTTCAAGAGAGGAACGCTCATGGTTTCGTGAAGCAGAAATCTATCAAACAGTTATGCTACGGCATGAAAACATTCTTGGATTTATAGCTGCAGACAACAAAGGTTAGTGATACTATGAATTCATTCTGCTGACTGTGTGTACCTGGTCAGAATTAGATGGTAAATGGAGGGGAAAATAAAATTGTGAGGATCTAATTAAAAGTAGCAAAAAATTTTGTTATTAGACCATTTCAGGGTTGGGCAGGCTTTTCATAGGTTTAATGAAGGAAAAAAGTACATTTTCCTTTTTCTGGAAAACATGCTTTGTTTAAATATAAACAAAATTATTGCATATTTAATGAGGTGTAATTTCTACAAGAAAGTTAAAATAGTGGCTAAGCTTGGTATTGAAAAGGAGATGCCTTATCCTGTCAGCTCACACATCTGCTGAATGCCACCTGTACTTTCATAATAGCCTAATAGATGTGTGGGACCAAAAGACATCATGTCTAATTCTGTTGTCCTAGTATAAAGTAGGAGGTAGAAGATTCATCTTTAAGGGTGAGATATATGAGAAGTTATTCATTTAGAACTCCAGTTAGAAAAGAAAGTGGAAAAAGGAAATTAATGATTTGTTCCTGGTGTTAAAAAACTGTACTTCTCTCCTGAAGCTCTCCTGATCAGCCTTTAAGTATCCACTAAGAGGAACAGTTTAACCTTTTTTTTTTTTTAACTTGATCTGTTGTGGGTTTGGTCAGATGAAAATTTCTTGGGTTTTCCTGCAGTCCAATTGAAGAGATGAAAATTTGGCAAAACCAACAAAAGTTTTAAATTTTTTTACATTAAGAGGAGCTGAAATGTCATGCTGTTTCATTTGGTTATTTTAATCTGAAATTACATGTTTCACCACAAATGGCTTTTGACTTTTTTGTGAAGAATTAACAGAAAACTGTCACCTTAGGGACAAGTCAATCCATACACATCCTGGATTCTTAAAGGGCTCTTGGTTTTGTGGGAAACTGCTGAATGGTTTCAGTCTAGTTGAAGTATACATGTAGATTAATTTCTTTTGAATTATCAGTAGATGAATTTCAAGTTTTTATAGATATAAAAATCTGTAGAATTGGAACAGAACCCAAGAGGTTGTGCAGAACATGTCCCTTCTCCAGGAATGGGTTAGCTGTAGCTAACTTCTTCCTAAACAATGTTTGTGCAACTTGTTAACCTCCAAGAGCTTGCACATTTACAGCATACCAGGCAACTTCTTCCTGCAGCTTATTATGCTTACCATTAGAAACTCTTACTTTCATGTCTAAAGTCGTATTGGATGTTAATAGCACCTGCAAGAGCTTGAGTTTGTTCTGATGAACCTAATGGAGTATCTGGAGCCTGAGTTTAAAATTAGTAGATCAGTTGCTTTAAAGACATAAATGAAAATCTATCTCTGCAGAAGCCTTGGGTACTGTCTCACTTAAAAACATAAAGGATATATTGCAATACCTTAGCTATAACTTTTAACAAAATCTACCTGTGCTTAAGCATACCAGTTTCCCATTTTGCCCCAAACCTGTAGATAGTTTGTCCCAAAAATACACTTGACTGCTGTGCAGAGGAGGTATCAGGAAGGTTTCCTAAATGAGCGGGTTCCTACAACTTCCTGATTGCTAGCTCAGGTTCCAGATGCAGTAGGATGAAATTTCATTTGACTTGGTCATCTTTAGGTTCATTGTAATATAATGTGATGGTTTCTGTTGTTAATATGCTGTACATATGAAGAAAAAAAATCTCAGTTGGTAGGTCATGCTATTATTTGAGGCTTTAAGACTTTAGGGCAAGGCTCTTCAGTTTTTTTGAACTGGTTGGCAATTGGTTTACAAAAAATGGGTGTTTTGAAAATGCTGCTGCTATGGACTGTTTTATAACAGTATTGCTGTCTGAGCAGATGTGGGAAGCTGGATTATTCTTTTAACCCACCAATGCATAATTCTCAGTATAACTTGCATCCTCTCAGTGAGGAAATATGTACACACCATTCTGAGTTAAGCATTCAAAAGTCCTGAATATTGAAGAAGGTTAATACTTCAAATCTTGTTTAGAATACTTCAGGCCACCTGTATCCCATTAAATGGGAGAACATAGAGGGACCATTAAGAAGGTAGTTCTTCTAGTTTAGCAGGTGTGCTATCCTGGTACTCTGAAGGGAGCAAGTGTATCAAATATGGCTTTTGAGACCAATAGCTTAAAAACACCTATTAACAGTCTTTCATTGTAGATGCTGGTGCTACCTGATAAATGCTTACTAGGTGCCAGGTGCAAAATGAGGTATTAGTTCACAGCAATAATAGCTGTGAAGGATTTACATCCATTTCTCCTTAGAGCAGACTGTTGAATGCATTCAGGAGTTACTATAACTTAGCTGGAACACACCAATTCATTAGACTATAAGAATCTGACTGTGTCTGAGACCTTGCAAAGATGACTACAGATATATAGCAGTACAAGAATTTACTTGTGCAATCCCAATTCAGTGCTTGCTGAAAGCTTCAGTGATATATGGAGAAGAATTCTCAGGAGTAGGTTCTTACATATCCGTCATGAATGCTGAGGTCTTGTATCTCCTGACATGTAGTTTGTGGTGTAATTGTGGGCCAGTGTCATACTGCGATTCTTGCTACTAGTAAAGGCCTTAATTAGGTCTCTCCTCTTAATGCAACTGCATATTTTTCACAACTGCTGGGAAACATCTGTCTGACCATTGTAGTTGTAAAATTGGGGAGGGGCCTGCCTTCAGGTAGAAGTGTGCATGTATGGATTAGAAAGTGTTTACAAACACATATAGATCAGCTAAGTCAGTGGTGCTCAGGTGGTGGAGTCACAAAGCTTGTGACTGAACTACTGTCTTCACTCCTTGTTCTACTACACTGTTTAGACATTCCATGGGTCTTAATGGCACGTTCTCCTCTGCTTCCCCAAAGCTGTATGGTGTTCAGAAGGCTACAGGAGCTGGTCCAATCTGTCTGCTTTCTCTCCCAAAATTTACTGGGAAATAGATGCTGCTATTAAGCCAGCTTGAGAGCTGAGAAGTTATTGATAACTTTAACTGCAGTTGTGTTCTGTCTGGCTAGTGTGTTTTATGTTCTGGGTAGCTCTTTACTTAGCCAGGAATATATGCTAACTTTCAAATACTGCTGGGTTGGGGAAATTGCTTTGAGCCATGTGTTGCCTTGTTTTAAACCACCTAAACAGATAGTTTGATATTTTTTCTTGGGGGGTGGGGGGGTGTCTTTTTCTAACCTAGATACTTAATTGTAAAGTATATTGGGGACTACTTATCTGCACTATTCTAATAGCAGAAGAACAGTAGCAGCAACCTCCGTTTACAGTACTAAAGGTTTTTCTGGATTAGCTGTCTGTAACCATCACTGTCTGTAGTCATTTAATAAATAAAGTGAAGTCTTGTACTGCACACTTTCTGATAATTTATGCACTAAAATACTCTGGCTTCTCCATTCCTTCCCTTTAATTGAAAGCTGCACCTTTTGTAGGTGAAAGTTGTTTGTTTTTTTTTTTTTCCAGTCAGACTACCTCACATAGTAAGTAAGTCCCCAAGAATGATGTTAGGCAATGTGCTGTGGAGAAATGAGTAGAATTCCTTCCCTTTGAGAAAAGTACCACTTGAGCCATTTATTCTTTTCAAAGCTCTGGCTTGAGCCTGAGAAGAAGGAATTTGACTGGAAGATCTTGCTAATCTACACAGCTCAAGTGCTTTTCATCAATTTAATCAGATGACCATCTCAATGTGATAGTCAAGCTGTTTCACTATCAGTCCTCTTCCAGCCACAGACAAAAGTATTTTCTGACATCTCCTTGAATATCTCATTTCTAAGAGTTTTCTAGTTATAGATCCTATCTGTATCTGGTCTTTTCACTGCTTTTTTCCTCTGTGTTTTTCTGTTACACTACCTGCATGCCAAAAAAAGGCTAATCTTTCAAAGACGACAGTGGGATACACTTTACTAAGTGACACTACAGAACACATGCAACTAGGCAGTTTCTGTAACTTGTTTTAAACAGTCAACTCGGAACATAAGTATGCGGTTCAAAACTCTTGTACCAAGCAACTCTTGTACCTTAAAACCTAGTATTTGGTTAAAAACAAGCATGTGCAAAGTCCAAATTTTTATCTTGCTGGTACTAATGTGGAAAAGCATTTTTCACTGAAGCAAATTCAGTCAATTCAATTTTAATTGAAACTTGATTATGTATTTGATAAAGCAATTGTACAAATGCCTTCGAGAGGCAGTTTGTCTCAGATGCTGCTTGGACTTCACTAACGTTTTTCTCAAACTGTAATCAATCTTCTAACAACATCTGAAACTTTCTTTACTCAGAATTTCAAATTTTGTTAGAACTGCAAAAGAAAAACCTTTTACTTCTGAGTGATTTTGATGGCTTAAAATACTTGCAGGTTTCTTGCTCACAGATGAAATAACCGTAATTAATCCCTTAAGTTTCCAAGAACATACGCAATTTTTGTAGTGTTCTTGAACATTCTGAAATTGCTTGAGATTCTTGATCATGATGTGCATATGGACTAAATTAGATTACCTTGTCATGGAAGGCTGTGCTACTGTATGTAATTACTACTGAGTGTAATTACTTTTTCTTACCTGATAATGCAAATCCTGTTGAAAGCTTCATAGCAGGTGCTGTTTACTGTGCAGCTAAAAATACTCGGGGTTGGGTTAATTATTACTTGGTAATAATTAACTACTGTCAACAGTATAAAAAGACTTAAGTTATTGTAACATGTTCTACTTAGATTGCTAAATGAATGTGTAGCTTGTCAAATACAGCAAGGTAAAGAAAATGTAGTAGATCCATCTAATAGCTGGATATTTTATTTACAGACAAGCTGAAATGCAGCAATAATTCATATTATTCATGTAAGCTTGGATGTCATACTGTCCCCTCTTAAAACCTGGTTGTAGGGCCACAAATACAACATACAGTAGGAAAGAATCATAGCTCCTTTCAGAATGGATAGTAAGCTCAGCTTTATATTTTCTTTGGAAGGAAGGTAAACAGACTGAATATTAAGACTTGCAGGTAATAAATAAGATAAAACTGAAGTAGAAGGGTCTGTAATCAGCAGCATGTTCTCTTAAGTGGGCACCTAGAGTTAAGAGGGGAAGAACTTGATGCAAAGACACTATAATCTTGCTTCAAAGCAATGATGATTCCTCAGAAACTGACATCTTGTAGATTTGTTTAAATACAATAGATCTGAATAGATTACTAATTTCCCTACTTACTGTTTTCTAATTTAGATACTTGTTGAGGTATCTCTTTCATAAGAAACATGAGAAGAAAACAAATACATAGTCAAGCAATGAGTGTGTATAGTGTTAATGTCCAGGAGAGGATTATTTCAGGCAATGTAGGGTCATAACTGGTAAAGCAGTAGAATAAAACTGAGTGAAGAGAATATTCTGAACTGATTAAGTTTACTTTGAACTTCTACACCTTTTTGGAGTTCTCTGACTATATGTGTTTGAGAGCACCTTTTATAATGTCTATGAACACAAACCTATCTTTTAATGGTTCTTTAAAACTATTTCAGTGAAGCTAATACTGTTGGATTGACTTTTCAGAGGCTGTAATTCTCCTTGGAAAAAGTCACTTTTAATAGTGTTGAGTTCTACAAGTTCATGCTTGGATATGCAAAGTAGCAAAAGAAGCAGCAGTCCCAACAATAAAATTGAAGATACTTTATTAAAAAAAATCAATAATTTCCTTTTTTAAAAAAACACCACAAAACACAAAGCTCAGGAGTCACTTCTGTAGACATACTATAAGAAGCTTCCCACTGCAATAGCAGCTTTCTATCAGTCTTTTACATGTTAGAGCATTTGACTGCTTTCATTTGCTTGTTTAAGTTAACAGCTTAGTTGAGTCTATCCTGGGAAAGCAGCAAGGCAGAATTCTCTTTCCATTATGAGAGCTGAGTGTAGATTACTCTTATTTTCCTACTCTGAAGCATTTGGTGGCTTTTTAATGATTTCTGTAGTTCTTTTTAATGGCATCACTGGCCTCCCTAGAAACATCCAAGTAGAAGGAATGCTTGAAAGTTGGTGGTTTTTTTTCCACCCCCACCCAAGTGCTTATTTAAAGATAAGAGTAAGTACTTATATGAAGGTAGTTTCTGTCAATCTGTAGATCAAGCATTTTGTGCCTTTGACTTTTCTGGGTCAAGTGTGTTCTTTGAAGGGAGGCAAGTGGAGGAAGAGGGGAAGGAAATGTAAAACCCTCCTATTTGGAAACTAAAAATTTTTCAGTATGTTTATGATAGAAGTGAATTCAGAAGTTAGTTCCTTATTCTTCCTACTTAGTTCTTGAGTATGCATTTTGGTAATCCTTAGGGACTACCACATGAGATCTTTTTGGCTTGCGCTGTTTTCTCATTTGTTCTTAGGGAACAGGGCCATATCATTCAGGATAGAAGTCCAGCTGAAATCTTCTATGGGATAACTAGTCTTCTAAAGAGATGAAAGACTCTTCTACAAAAGTGGCTAGCCATAAAAACACTTCTCAAATCTGCTGCATGAGAGTTGTTTTTACAACAAAATTGGAAAACCTGTTTGGTGGCAGGATTGTTCTTTTCTGGGTATGTTTCTACTTTGGTCAAAAAATCTTCTGCCTCCCTCTTGATTTGAATTCCTTAATAGTCTTCTCTCTGTGGCTTAAACTTGAAGGTATTTTGTGTCCACTGGTTTAATAATGTGAACAATGTAGTTCTTACCTGTCATTTGTATGCCTTGAGATACCTGCAAATGTATTATGGCCTGTCTTATTCTTAATAGTTCATTGAAAAATCAGACAGCAAACTGTTGTTCTCATAGTGGTTTTCATTCTCTTTACCCTTGTGCCTCTTGGAAACCTCAATTTTGGCCAGCAAGTTAGAGGTCACCAGAGGTGGGATTTGATTTTGATTTTCACATAGTGTGTCTGATTGCTGCTTGCAAGCAGCATACTCCAGGAGGAAAAATCTACCAACTGCTGGTAACTGTGAAAACTATTTCCCAGGCTGAGGCCGGATAGGTTATGGGAAGGCTGAAGGAGTTATGGGGGTAAAGCTTGAAAGACTTTTTCTTATGGGTAGCCTTTTATGGGACAATATTGTACTAGACCGATAGTGATAGGATTAGTTTTGCATCATGCATTCAGCACTGTTCCCCCCAAGCAGAAAAGTTAGGGGAAGGCAGGGCCTGGCTAATACACTGAATAGTTCACCTCAGAATCAGAGTGGAATTGACTTTCTATGTCTTTTAGTTTAAATAAAAGAATACTCACTTAGCTGTTTAGAAAGTCTTGCATGGTAGTCCCAGCCCTTATAGAGGCATTTAAATGTTACAGGGATAGAAGTAAAGATTTAAGAGTCTTATTGGCTGAGGTTATGCAGAACATAATGTGTACTTCATAAGCATTATATAAAAGTGGCATATATGCTTTGCTTGTCTCTTGTGTGTGTGGTATTTATGCCAGTGTTATTTTGCAGACAATGGTACATGGACTCAGCTGTGGTTGGTGTCAGACTATCATGAGCATGGATCACTCTTTGATTACCTGAACAGGTATACAGTAACAGTGGAAGGAATGATAAAATTAGCTTTGTCCACTGCCAGTGGTCTTGCTCATCTTCACATGGAAATTGTTGGCACGCAAGGTAATCTTATGACTATTTAGTCTGTCATGTGGATAATACTGGATTTTTTTAAATAACACATATATAGCTCCTTCTGCTAGAATTCTTAATTAGAAGAACCTTTTCAGGGTATAGTTGCTTTGCACACAGCTACTTATGTGATGAGAAGGCAGCCAAACTTGACACAGATACCCAAGTTAATCTCTTGTAGAGCTGAGTGAACTGAAAAATGTCTGAGATGTGGTAATTTCCAAATTAAGAAGTTCTGTTAGTTTAGAAGGCTTTTTACCTTCCTTTCTATGGTACATCCAGGTTTTGTGATGTAACAATTCTTCCTACAAAACACTTACTAAAACGCATTCAGTAATGGTGCCTGTAGTATATTCTTAACTTTGATTTGTGATAGCACTATGGATCTATTTCCAGAGGTATTAGAAACTTTTTTATGGCAAGTAGTATGTGTATGCAATAAATAAAGGCTTAGAATAATAACAATTAGCTCTTTTAACAGATCTTTTATTTTTTCCCTTCTTACAGGCAAACCAGCAATTGCCCACAGAGATTTGAAATCAAAAAATATATTGGTAAAAAAGAATGGAACATGCTGCATTGCAGACCTAGGATTGGCGGTTAGGCATGATTCAGCTACAGACACAATTGATATTGCCCCAAACCACAGAGTGGGAACAAAAAGGTAAAATCACTAACGTGATGTGTCAGGCAACTTTTGTTATAACATGCTTTGTTTTCTCTTGTCCAATATAGATTTTTGTGGGTACCAACACAAGTAGCTCGAAAATGTAAATAATGGCAGGTAGAGTTCCTAGGCATTTCCCTGCCAGCTGGTAATTAGTTAGACAGCAGGTGCTTAAAAAGCATGTTGAATCTTGATATCTATTACTAGCATGTGTAAAATAGCAAAAACTTGCAAAATATTGCAGGGCACAAGTATATATTAAAACAATTAGAGAAGACTTTATGAATGATAGTTTTAGACTTCACTGCTGTATCTTTATTCTTTTTGCCCTGTGTTGCATGGAAATGTTTCTTGCAGCACAATCTGGAGTGTAAGGCAACATATTGACAGTGAAAGTGAAAAGCTGGATTTTTTTTTTTCACTGTGAAGCCTATGTGGTAGAACATACAAGGTGCAGTCTTGGACACAGACTTTCATGGGATCATTTCAGAGAGAAATACAAGAACTTAACACAACAGTCATCTTTGTCATCTAATGCGTAAATAGAATTAACAATGGATGAGTTGGTATGCTCCCTCTCTGTTAAAGGCCTACTTCTGAATTTGGAAATACAGATTTTCTTGTCCTCAAAAGAACTTGGAGCTGTTTAACTCAACCCAAGTGCAATTAAACTTATTAGCTGTAATTTATCATTGGTGAACCTTCGGATGATAATAACTGGAAGCTGTTCTGTAGAGAATATTTCTTTTAGTTATCCGTGCAGCTATACGGCATACAGATAGCAACACTAACAAGTGAACCACAGCAACAGAGTTCTGTGATACAGGCTACTTTTTGTCTTTTAATGCCTATAGGTTCAGTGTTATGTCAAACTGAAGTGTGTCATGGAGAAATGTGTGGCAGCCCAGTGGTTTGGGTCTGTACATTAACTTCAGCATATGCCCTAGCAGTGTTGGAGAAAATTTGGTGTTGATGTTGCCCAATCTCTAATCCATACACAAAAAATATTATATATCTCTTTAGTGAGTGATGCTGTAGGGGAAGGGCAGGGTGTGACTAGGGTGTTAAAATGAACTAGGATGTCCCTTTAGCTCTGCCTTTTTTTTTTGAAGAAAAAAACCATATTGGAACATCTACTGAAAACTTATTTTTCTGACAATTATATCACTGAAATTACTTTGTTCTAAAGTTCTGCTGTACTAGTCCTTTGCCAGCTTTAAAAATACCACACAAATGGTCAGATGAGATTTATTTTCTGAACTACTACTAGATTACAAAGTACTGGGCATTATTCCTTCTCAAAGTCTCCAGTAATCATTGGTAATAAAACAGCAGACTACTTTGGAATCTGTCATCGCAAGCTTGACTGTGTGCAAGGCATGTACCATGTGTGACTTAGTATTTTTTTTACATGCAAAGAAAAATGATATGCATATCTGTTACTTTCTTTAGTCCTTGGAGAAAGCGTTCTTTCAGCTGTGTCTGTAGATCCCACTTACAAGATCTCATCTTGTATAGGCGCTATTAAATTGCTTGTTCATCTGCCTTATGCTTCACAAGGGTACAAATTGTAGCAACTGTCTTGCTGCAGTGGGCAGCAGCAGGACTAAGTCTGTTTCCCACTTCAAAGACATTAGTCACTTCTACCTCTGAAAATTTTTTGTTCTCATAAAAGGCTTGGTCCCTTCTTCCCTCTTGTGTTTTTAGGTAAGTAACTCAGCACCTCTGGTTAATTTTTCATAATAAAGTTCAGATATTACCTGTTCAATGACAATTTTAACTACCATTGATTGCCACTGCTGGTACCTCTTCTGCACATGGAAGCTTTGTGTGCAAGTTCAGGGAGATTTGACTAAGTTCATATTTTTCTGATGATTGTTGTATAAAATGCCAGGTCTAGGGAGCAAGCAGGACTCTCTCTTGGGTGAGTGGTATAAGTGTTGAGTCAGACTGATCCTTCTCTCTGACTGAAGGAATCTTTTTCTTTTCTGTTCAGAGGCTTAGCTTTACCAGAGGGTGTGAACTCTGTGCTTTCACAGCTCAGCCTGCAGCATGAAGCAGGGAATGTAAGCTTTAAACTGAAGAGGAAATAGAATTCCCTTCTCACTCCGAGGCAATTAAAAAAAAAAAAAAAAAAGGACTAATTCTCCTTTTTTCTTACTTGAAGTGTGGCCCAACTGTTAATTTTGATAGTTGAAATAGGCTGTGTTTTAAAAGAATTTTGGCTGCAAATTCCACTTTAACATGGGTGCTTTTCTGCAGTTTACCTAAACCAAATATGAGCAGAATTCTAGCTATGCTTGTGGAAAACCAGCTTGGTGAAGGGACATGTCACACTCAACATGTTCTGTGTGGGTCCTGTTTGATGACATCAGGCTCTCTAAGTTGTACAGGAAACTTAAGTAACAAATACAGAGCTCTTTGGACTAAAAGGGGTAGGGGGAAGAGGTCAGTGGGCATCCAAAGTTTGGCAAGGCTATGCTCAACATAATTTGTGAGCTTCTTTGTAGACTTACCCTTTCATTCTTGGATGGTACTGAGCTTCAGACCTTGTTCAGAAGGTCAAAGTTAGTCTATGTAGAGTAGTTCTCTCCAGAACCTGAAATACTGTTTCTGACAAGCAGTGCATTTCCAATACATAAGTTGACAAGGAGATGCATGTTTCTCTCCCTTTGTCTGATAGCCGTGAAACGGCTAATCTGCTAACTGCACTAGATGACCTACTTGCCTTTCGCCTCTCTTGTTCCAGCAATAATGTCTCAGACTTTTTGAGCAGTCAGTCACCATTCTGAGTTATGGAAGCCAAAGCCAATCTAAATGCATTGATGGAGGATCATGGTAAGAGGTCAATTTGCCAATAAATTCAATGGAAGTTATATTGGGGGGGGGACTCTTTCTTTTGAGGGTATGAATTCAGCTCCATTGCCACATTCAGGCCTCTTATGGTCTTTCCTGTTAAAACCCTTGTCCTTAGGATGATTTACAGAAACTGAGGCAATCTACTGCTTGTATAAGTTATTCTGATAGTCTTGCAACATGGTTGGGGCTTCTGGTTTGGTGCTTTTCCAGCTCCATCACTCTTCTTATCTACATGTGATCTTAAGATATAGATTAAATAGTCTGTCTTCTAGACCCAAAGCTGATTGGTGTACTGTCAAGTGTGTGAAGTAGTATAAGAAGATTATCCAATAATGCAAAATCCTTGGAGAACTTTTTAATAAAGAATGCAAGTTTTAAAGCTTTTGATACAGGTGGCCCAGAATAATTTGAGCCATGTCCATATCAAAGATTGTGACATATGTAAACTTAAGACTCTGCTTTTGTTCGGTAAACACTGTCAAAATGAACCTTACTCTTTAGACAGTTGTCCTCTGCTTGTGCTGTGTTTAATGCTTGTTGGGAACTTACATGCCTGTATGGTGCTTAGGAAGACTCGTGTCAGCATCCCTTGTTGAAGTTCTGGACCGCTGCATTTTTGCTCTTTTGTTGATAGCCCTTGCTTCCTTGTATGTATGTCATTACCATAAGACACAGTAGCACTGAGAGAATTCTGAAAGATCTGATAGTCCTGAAATTTAAGTAGTGTATTGTATTCTGTCTACCATCCCTGGTACTAGGATAAGAAAATCCTAGTATTATGTTGATTAAATGAAATCATGCACAGACTTCTGTGGCTGGTCCAGAGGTTGAGCTATTGCCTGACACTATATTCCACTCGAGTGTGTGTGTTGTGCTGTTTTACCAGTTAACTGATATCATTGTTTGCCTGCTTCATTAATATGTCAGCTTGAGATTGATGGGGCAGTGATGTGGAGAAACACACTGAACTCTGCTAACCATTACATACTGGATTTAGCTGCCAGAGCTATACCAGATTGAGAGTGCAATACTACAGCTGATGTTGACTGATAAAGCAAATACCATTCATTCTTTCCAGCAACCGGGGATGTTGCTGTTGGTAACTGTCACAACCTGGTCCATGCTGACATTTTGCTTTGTGTTCCCACATTAGGCCTAGTCACTAAACAATGTAACAGTCACTTGGATGCCATGACTAGTTTTCAGTCCCTGTTTCTCAGTTGAAAGTCTGTCACAGTTTTTCTGTTGCAGGAAACGTTGATAAAGTAAACTTTTCTTGTGAGCACAGTTTTTAATGTGTAACCCAAATAGGATTTAATATTTAAACTGTCAGGCTTTTTTTTTTATGATGAAGAAGCAGTTACTGCAATGATAGGGAGCCTTTGTTCCCAAGGAATCCTTAACAATGCTGCCTCTTTAACCAGCCCTTCATGTCTATTCCCTCTGTAGCCTTGCTAGGGGATGTCATAAGTGGCTGCTATATCTCAGCAGATTCCAGGAGCTGGGGCTTCTTCCTGCCTGGCCTCTGGAGCCCAGCCTGATGTGTCCAAGGGGCTGGGGCTCTGTCCATCCCAGGCCCTTTGATGCGGCTGCTGCTTTCTTACTTGGGATTCAACCAGTAGTGAGGCTGGGCATACAGAAACATACAATATTGACGGGGCTGATGACACAGATTGCTGTATGCCATGTGCTATCTTCAACACCCACATAAAACACTGTCAGAACTTGTATAAAATATAAGTATAGACAGCCAAGTCTCCTTCCTTCTCTTCAGCTGATCAGGATTGAACTTCATTAGTGAAAACATACACACTCCCTTCTGTAGCCTCATAAGCCCATGCATGTTTATGAATCCCTCAACTACCAGTACAACCCTTGCTGTGTCTAATGCCCTCTTCTGTTCTACATAGCAGCCGGGCTGGGTTAGTGCACAGTAGCAAACTGATGCATGTACTCATCATACAAATGCCTACATGCATAGATTCTCTCAACAGTGCAAGCCCTCCCCCTGTTAAACATCCCTGCCTAGACCATCTATTCGCTGGCTAGACCAGCTTGAAGTTTGCTAGTGAATTATACTCATGCACACCTGACATGTATACCAGGTTGGGGGGAAACAGAAATCTTCCAGCCTCCCCCAGCAGCTGACACCCAGGCATGTAGACCTTATGACCTGTGATTCCCACTCCAGTTGCTGGTGCTGAGGCCCTTACTCTGCTTCTCTCATCCCACTTCTCCCCTGTAGATGGTAACTGTAAGCATGTGACTGAAGTCTGTGACCCATGGTCCTACTTCAGTGGTTGAAGCAGAGACCCTCATTTGCTCCAGTTGCTGGCACTGGGGGTGCCTTCACCCACTGTCTTGACTGCAGTTGCTGGCATAGAATTCATTCATGCTTGTCCTCTCTCACAGTACCTGTAGATGCATGCTCCTAAGACCTGTGGACAGATGCTCTTAGGACCTGTGGTTCCCCTTCCAGCTGCTGATGCTGAGGCCCTCCTTCTCTCCAGTTACTGACACCCCAGGCCTAAGGGCAACTTCATCCTTTGTCTTATTCCATTTGCTAGCCCTCAATTCACTCATGTCTATGTATAGTCCTTAGAGCACACATGCACATAGGATTGAGAGTGAGGTTGCATAGAAAGATAGGATTTAATAAAAAGACCTGGTACACTGTGGTGAGAGGTGCAGGGCTTGGTCAGACAAGCATAGTGACTGGCAAATGTTTATGCAGCTGGCCCCTTTGATGTACTTTTCTATCTATTGCCCCACTTTTGTTCCTCTCAGTTACCTTCTACGAAACATTCCTTGATAAGCATTGCATAGTCCCACAGGCTCCCTTGAATATCCACAGTCCTCATGTTCCTCTTGTTTCCTGCTTATTAGCAGTTACAATGTCCAGACTGGCCCTTTCTAAAGCTATGCTTGGAGTTTCTTAATAGCCCAGCAATTAGTAACTGGGAACTTTTGGTCTTTGTCACTGTCTCTGTTATCCCATGTCTATCAGGTTTATGGCTCTATTTATTGTTACATGTTTTACTTATTCCCCCTATTCCTTTGCTTGTTCCTCTCAGTTTACTTATTATACCCTTTGCACTGAAAGACAAAGGAAAATTTGCTTCATTAAGGTTATTCAATCCTTTGTCTTCTTTTCCACATAAATATTTAAATTTGATTTTGAGCTGATCGGTAGCACTGAACGTTCTCTACAGTAAGTATTTATAGAATTAAATGTTTTCTTCTTTTTTATTGCAAATAGGTACATGGCACCTGAAGTTCTAGATGATTCCATAAATATGAAACATTTTGAGTCATTCAAACGAGCAGACATCTATGCAATGGGATTAGTGTTTTGGGAAATAGCTCGGCGATGTTCAATCGGTGGTATGTGACAATCTTTACAAAATTGGACATACTAAGGAATTATAAGAAACTTAACCTGAATAAGCTTGAGTAAACAGTTTGCTCTAAAAATGGTGTAAGGAAATAGCCAGTATGTCTCAGACTTTCTAACTTTTAATCCTGTAAATAACTGGTTTATTCAACCTCTCTAGAAACTGAAGAACCATACCTTTTCAATAAAATATGAAATACCCTTGTCTATGTTATTTTTTTTCTAAAACCTTTACATAGAGGGGAGAAAAGTGTGAAGTTGAATGTCCTTAAGAGCAAAGGGCAAACACCACAGTTAAGGGCTAGCTATAATGTGTTCAGATAACATCCATACCTTATTTAAAATAAAACATGCTATTATAAATCCTATACTTCCAAGAAGTGTCTTTGAAAGATTTGATATAGCTTCCATCTTTTCCAAATACATACATTCCAAAATTAAAAATTCTTCAAGGGTAATGAGAATGCTCCTACAGTATGGTTAAGGAGTCTTTTTTTTAATTTATGTCGGTCATTGTAATGTAATTCTTAAATAACAAACCTAAAAGAAAATGGTAGGGTACTGATAGGGTACAGTAATACATGAAGAATGTGTAATTCAGTGTTAGCTAAATTTTCAACCTATTACAGGAATCCATGAAGATTACCAGTTGCCATACTATGACCTCGTTCCTTCAGATCCTTCTGTTGAAGAAATGAGGAAAGTTGTGTGTGAGCAGAAGTTAAGGCCCAATATTCCAAACAGATGGCAGAGCTGTGAGGTATTAATTAATCTTGCTAAAGCTGCTTTAATGGATGCCTAGAGCTTTTATTGATTTCAGTGGCTTAAAAATTGTGCTGCTTCTTGAGGGGAGAAGGCTTGCTTCCAGGAGAACTTCGTTTCCTTCTGAACATTGGTTTTATTGAATGTTATTGATCCTTGGTTATACATTAATTTTCATGAAATTACGTTAAATATTAATAGCTAATCCTGCATGGAGAATTCTAGAATCCCTTCCTGTGAAGCATAGGTGGTGCTAATGTATAATATAATTCAGACTAGCTTTAATTTACAGGAAGCATTATTGCAAATAAATTGTGCAGCTGGAGGTTGTGCTGCATCTGGCTGGGATTGAGTTAACTCTTTTCATAGTAGCCTGTATGATGCTGTGTTTTGGATTTGAGACCAAACTAGTTTGATAGCACACCGATGTTTTAGCTGTTGCTGAACAATGCTTACATAGCTTCAAGGCTTTCTTGGTTTCTCATTCTGCCCCCTTACTGCCAAGTATGCTGGGCGTGGATAAAAGGCTGAGAGGCAGTACATCTGGGACAGCTGACACAAATTGATCAGAGGGATATTCCATACCATGCAATGTCATGCTCAGCAGTAAAATGGGGAGGTGGAGTTTTCCAGGGACTGCTGTTGCTCAGGGACTGGCTGGACATCAGTCAGATGGTGGTAGGCAATTGTTTTTGTATTGCTTGTTTTTCTTTGATTTGGCTTGGTTTTCTGCCTATTAAACTGTCTTTATCTCAACCCACAAGTTTTCTCACCTTTGCTCTCCTGATTCTTTCCCCGATCCCTCTGGGAGGGAGTGAGCGAGTGACTGTGTGGGGCTTAGCTACCTATTGGGGTTAACCTGTGACAGAGGTAGTAAAGAAACATCGGGTGTGTGCCAATTGTTTTGTAAGTAGTCTGGTTACCTCTTTCAATAAGTTAGTTGCTAGTTTCAGCTCAGTACTCTGCCAGCAGAGCAGTGCTGCTTGTTGGTACACAAATGGTATCTTCAACAGTGCTGTGCTGCCTTATGTGAATACTTGCTTGGAACTCGCTCATGGGTATCATTGTGTAGTAAAGGAATATCCTGCAGACTGGCCAAAATAGCACATGCCTTCAGGAAACCGTGATGACCTTAGTACTTCATGTGTGTCTGAATTTGTACTGTACGCACTTACTGAAAGATGAACACAGTTGTTAGGAAGCTGTGACTCTAGTAAGCCAAAGACTTAGAACTGAAGTGTGCACATAGTGACTGCTTCTGTCCATGCCTCTGTAGAAGTGCTTACCTGATTCTGGGGTGAGTTCATTATGCTAGTAGTCACTGCATGGGCAGTAGTATGCACAGCAGCAAGCTCTTGCCTTTCCAGCCAACTTTCTTCATATTGCTTCCTCTAGAAACCCAACTAGGGCTAGAACCGATGCTTTCTGATTCAGAGCTTAGGAGAATAGCTGTGGTGGGCTACAGTACAAGTAAGAGATTGAGATACGATGTACTTTAGATGGAAGAGGGAACTGGGTCATGGCATGTGTGAAATGAATATGTGGGTGAAGGCCTCAGATAAGAGATGGGGCAAGAGAATGTAGGTAGGAGAGAAAGGGGATGATACACACTGACAGACTGGAGAGTCATTTTTTTTAAATGCCACCATTCCAATCCTGCAAACTTTGCAGCTCAGAGTAATACAGCTTTGAGTGTAAAATCTTGGAATGTAGAGTTATTACTTTATTTCATCTAAAGTTTTAATGTTATCTGCATTGTTACTTGTGTAGTAGTGTTCACGGATTTCAAAGAATGGCTGTTTGAAAATTTTTGGAGTGTTTTTATCCTTCAGAGTCATTACAGAGCTTCAATTTGAAGAAGACAGCTGATAAACTTCTGAATTGCTATACATTGAATTAACTCCTTAAAAAGCAATTTATGACTGAAGGAAGTGATTGAGTACATTCCCAGCTACACAGTACTTCTGTGTAATACAGAGTACCTCCTATTTCATTACTGCTTTTCAACTGAAGGTACAATTTAAAAGAGTGTATTCTTGTCTAATGCAAAAATTCAGAAAACAGTTACAGACAAGCTACTAATTTTTCATTAAAATATTTTTGTATGGGCTGAAATTCTACTGAAAAATACTAGTTCTGCTCTACACTATTTTAAATAATTTTTCTGTAAATAAAGTAAGAATGAGTTTTGTATAGAACATATTCTTCCATGCAGCTGTAGTACTAGTAATAGACTTCAGAAATGTATGAAGAGGCAAAAGCAGAACAGAGGTTGCACGGGCTACATTGGAACAGCAGTACATATAATTACCTGTCTTTCCTTTGCAGGCATTACGAGTAATGGCAAAGATTATGCGGGAATGCTGGTATGCCAACGGAGCTGCTAGGCTAACAGCTTTGCGCATTAAGAAAACGTTATCGCAACTTAGTCAACAGGAGGGGATAAAGATGTAATCCTGGATTTGCTACCGAAGAATACTGTAAAAAATCCATATCTGCACCAGAGTGGCGTGTTAAGAAGGTTAATTGTTCTACCTCATTGGGGGAACAGAAGGATATTGCTGCCTTTTAGTACTTCATAGGAACGTCGCTTATTAGGATTTTTGTGGACATACTGAACAGTTGTGTTGAGTCCTTTCTGTGCACTATGAACCTCTTTCCCAGGTTACTTACAAAACATTGTGTAGTCTAGTTTTATTTTTATTAATCTATAATTTTTTATTTGCAAAGCTAATAGCTGGTCTTAACTTCTAGTTAACCGTACTAAAAATTGGAGGTCACTTTTAAAATGGAACTGGTTCCCTATATTGTCCTAGAGTGCATTGGTAGCTCTTTAAGCAACTTTATTCCTAGCTAGTACATTGACTATTCTGAACCACTGTCACAGTTCTTTGATTCAGATTGTGAATGTACTGTTGGAGTATACTTTGCTAGTTATTAAGGTAATCTATCTTTTGGACTCTTACCTTGATTTACAAATGGACCTCATTCAGTTGTGGGAACATAATTTATGCAACTATACTTTATACATGATTACTGGGTTTTTTCCACTTTTTCAGAACATTACATTGCCTTCAAAATAGATTGTATTATACCAGTAAGTGCCGCTTTTGAGTCTTTTAATGCAAAACAGTAGGAGTGTACAAAGCCTATGGTACTTTTGGTTTCGAAAATACAAGTTAAAAATCAACTGTTCTTTGCTTAGCTAAGACCTAGTTCACACTCGTTTCAGCGAGTACATAATTTGCAGAATACCTTTAATTTTGCCAAAATCTGACTCTTTAAACCACTGTAGGAGTCTTAAATAGTATAAATTAGTTAATTCACTGTCATATTTTGTAATTGTCAAGTCATGAGTCATAATTATATATAAGATTTTTTTATCAAGTGGTACTTCTAAAATGCTTGAAGTACCTATCTGCTTCAGAAAAGTAGCAAGAGGAGTAAGATGTTCTTAAGCGAGATTCTGCTCCATTAAATCAAATATGGAAAGCGTATTTTCTGTGCAGTTCTGCAGAGTCTTAAGGCTCAAAGAACAATATTTGCAATTAAACAAGGATTAAGTGCACCTGTAATTAGGGAGAAGTTATTTGGGCTTTTGTACCAGAAAGTTCAAAGCTGCTTAAATTTTATGTGCATATATATTGTGTGTGCCTCATACACAGAAAGTGGTGAGCTGCAGGTCTTTGGATACAAATACCAGAGGATTCCAGCAATCCTCTTCATAGTTATGAAAACAAAGCTTATAGTGGCTTGTGTTGTCATAAGAACACAGAACAACATGCATGGCTTTAGTCAAGAATTGACTGAGATTTTAAGGATATCACAAGATTTTCGCAAACTTGTTTAGAAATTTAGTTGCTTCCTTCCCAAATGTACAATTTCTGGAGGAATTAATGTGGAAAATTCTCTTTAAAAAAATTGCTGTTACCAGGATGTGGTTTTTAATTGCAGTTTTAGGAAGAGTCTGGTTGATCTTTGATTTCATTTATGTCCAAAACACTCAGTAGTATGTCAGTATGTAAATGTGCCTGTAATTAATATGCCATCTAACTTCCTACTCTGCAGAACACATCAGTATCCATCCGATTATGCAACACACGTGACAGCCTTACCTCTGTTTCCTTTTCATTCTTCAGCATGCAGTCCACTGAGTTTTTCACAACACTAGTAGTAGTTGCAGGGTGGTTGCTAACAGAAGCTTAGTCAAGATTGTGTTCCATGGTCTGTGATGTATGGTAGTTAAAGCAGTAAGATGGATGGGTCCTAGCAAGAGGCTATATAGGTGACATAAGACTTAGCCAAGATAAGCCTTAGCACTTTGTTAACTCTTGCATATTTCCAAATTCTTAGTACTTGCTTGGAGATAAGTTTACATGATGTGGGAATCACAGTCCTTCAGAGGTTGAACTGCAGCTAATGAAATGCTTTATTCAATCACCTTTATGGATGAGTTTACTCATACTGGAAGATAGCCTCCAGAAGAAGAGGAAAAAGTAAGAGAAGTTCTTAGAAAACAATTGGGTTTAAACATGTGTACAGCTGTCACACTTATGTTTGTTTGGCATTATCTGACCAGTCAGGCTTATGTGCTTCAGGCCTCTATCAATCAAAGCTGGATCAAAAATGACTCCCTGTAGGTATTTTAAATAAACTATGCCATTGTGCAAATGGACAACTGTACACCACAGTTTTTTTCAACTATGACTAACCTAAAAAAATGGTTGAATATAACTAAACTCCCAAGGCTATCTACTTGACATGCCTCTCTAACAAGTTCAATGTATCTAGGTAAATATTTAAAGAACACAGGTCAGTGTCAAAATAGAACTTACTGTATCTCCGTACTAATTTCAAAGGCTTCCTAGTTAAACAATTTAACTCTGTTAAATTTTGAGTTTTTCATAGGTGTACCTGGATCTTTACCATAGATGCAAATGGTATAGTTCATACTTCAGAATCATCAGGCTGCTGGTGTGCTTCAGATCTTTACAGTAATCTTGATGGTAACATGAGAGAGCTTCTAATATAATTCATCAAATAATTTCATTAGTGGCTTTTTTTAGCACTTACAAAACCTTATCACCATAATGTTTAGTTTCCTAAAATACAAGGAGCAGTTCTGTTGCTTTTATATGAGAATCTACAGCAGCTGAACAGCATCATGGCATGCAAATTATTCAGTCAACTGTACAGTGGTTTGTTACATAGATTTAATCTCAACCACCTACTAGTCTTCATTCTCCTGAATTGCTAGCAGCTATTCTTAACATTGTTGTAATTTTTTGCTTTGTAATAGAAGCTTGCAAAAACAAAGCACAAGAAGGATGCTTGATATACAGTGTGTGATGTTAGGAATGTTATTTTGGGACAGCCTTATTCATATTGGAATGCAGAACAGGAAAATTCCAAATAGACCTATAGGTATCCTCAGTTCTGACACCACAACTTCAAGCTTTGTTCTTCTTTTCCATTATATAAACTGAACACCTTTTACAAAGGCTCTGTCTGTATATATTATGTAACTTTAAATCTTACCTGTGTAAGATCATATCTTATATATATGGACACAGGTACACATAAGTATTTTTTAAATTAAGATTGTAATATCACCAGATCTGCTCTTGGAAATCCAGGGGGACCAAAATATTTTAGCATTCAAAATATTAATTTTGTATCATTTCAAGTATATACCAAAACAGTTTCTGATGAATACTGATGCAAATGTTTATTGTAAATACTACATATGTTATACATTCACTTAAGTTTTGTGGATTTAATCAATTTGACATTTTAGTAGCATTGAAGCCTCAGTTTGGTTTACAGACTTGTGACCAGGAGGATATGGAGAATAAGGAGCATTGGAAATGGTCTGAACCTGAGAAGCCTGAAACATTGTTTTTGAAATGCTGGAATTCTTCAGGGACCTTCCAACCTTAAAAGCTGGAATTCTGGGATGTTTCTCAAGCTGACTTTCCAAGTATGACACACTGTCACCCTCCAATGGTTCCACTTGTAATCCTAAGAAAGACTTTGTATATAGGGTAAAGACATTGGGATTGACTGTATGGGGACATGAAGGTGTCAAATGAAATGAGAGGCCATTTTTATTTTCAATAATGGTTCTGAGTGTGATTGCCATGAAACTCACTTTTTTAGTTAGTTCCTTGTTTATATTGTGCCATTGAAAGGATTGCAAGGTGTTAATCATTTTGTGTTTTAAAAACAAAACAGACAAAAAAAACTTCACCATATCAGTTGCTTTAAACTCAAATTACCTCTTAAAAGACCAAGGTACATTTACCTCGTGTATATAATGTTTAATATTCTTCAGAACATTCTTCAGGTTTGCAGTTCCATGTTTCTAGAAATGATGGGTATTACTAAATTTACAATTTCAGCGGTACTAAATGTATTATCTGGTGCCCCAAAACACTTTAATTTTCTGTATCTTATTGTATTAGCAAGTTTGCTGCTTTGTCACTGTAGCACCTGCCCTTACATAGCTGTGTGGATACTGCCTTGTAAATTTTGCTTTTTGGATGATTTGAGGATCCTGTACAGATGAGTGTCACTTTTTTAAACCTTACGAAATTGTGCATTTCCCTTACATTTCTGAAAATATGTATTGTATTTGTAGAGTACACATTTCAATGGATTGTAAATAGGACAGTAGAAGAGTGGATGGTTATGTTAAGTGCTAACACTACAGTAGAGAGATTAAAGCAGTGAAAATAAATAACTTTTTTCAAAATGTGTGAGTTGTCTTTCAGAGGAAGATGTTGCAGGTAGGTCTGGGCTTGGGTGTGATGTTCTTACTTGGCTAAATGTGGGTTTACTGTGAATTCCTTAGAAGGAATTTCTGCTGGTATAAAAGTGGTAAAGGAGTATGCTAATGCTGAGATGATCCATCTCATGTATGCTATATGGATAATGATAAAGTGCCTGATCTTCTTTGTGTCCTACAATAATATTTGAATAAGTACCTTGCTGGTATTTCTGATCTCTTGGACAAAATAACTAATGACAATGTATTCCTTCTCTCTGTTTATATTTACACAGAAGTAACAGAGCTGCTGAGAATTTCAGACTACTTAAACAGCTGACCTCAGTGCATCACAGAACAGCAAGTAAAATCAGCTTGTGTTTGAGTGGATTTTTTTCTGTACAAAACTCAATTTTAGACTGGTATTGCATTTCTGGAGGAAGGTGAAGGTGTAGACATAAAAAATAGGACATCTTCCCCTTCATAACTTCATGTGCATCCATTAATTTTGGCTCAGAAATGACTAGACAGAATTACCAAAAAGCACTTCTTCCAGCAAACTTTCTGCAAAATGGGAAGCCATAAGGTGTCCAGATAAAGGCAAAAGCTATGTCAAAATACTCTGTTCCTGTTTAAACTCTTTCACAGGAGGTATGATTATTTGGCTGAGAACATGCCTCTCTTCCTAGGAGTGGCTAAAGGAAGATATCTCCTACCACTGCAAGCAACTAAAATTCTGTAAAATCCTGTAGTCCCTGTCATACATCTCCTAGTAGAGAAAATGTATGGTCTGGAAATAGCATAGTAATATTGCTGTCTACCAAGCTTAGTTTTTATTAGTCTTCTGAGTGTCATGCTTTGAAGGACTGAACCTAACTGAAAATCCATGAACAGCAAACAATTACTGCAAGTAACTTAGATGTGAGGATGTTTTAAGATCATTTGAGAGGAGATGCTGAATTCAGCTTGGATTACAAGTCAGGATAAGGAGTGGTAGACTTCCAGCTGGTTGGTTTTGCCTCATGTAATTTTTTTTTAAAGTGTGGGGCTGTTGAAATAGGTTCTTTTTAATACCTACTGCACTGAAGAATATTTTGTGTACGTGCAGCATAACTAAAGTGTATAATGAACCACTTTTATGCGGTACCAAGTAAATATTGCAGTTTTCCTTTTAGCAGTTTTTGTGAAATGAGTAACTGATGTACAGTAATGTACCAGATAATTATAGGATAGCGTAAGGGTGGTCCTGGTAGAAAACAGATTCCTT